AAACCTCACACTGGTATTTTTGTTTGTTAGTTTCCCCCATGTGAATTTGCATTTAGAGACAAAGAATCGAGTTATGAATAACTACTGTTTGGCAGATTTCAGGACATCTGTGGCTTGATCCAAACTCTCTTGAAGCATCTTTCTGTTGACTTCAGCAGAGACTACTTTATTCTATTTATATAGCATCTAGCACAGTTGTGCACAAATCTCGGAGGAAATACGTAGGCACTACTGTAGTACAGTAGCAACAATAAAAGAAGAATAACAGCCTCTCTGAATTAAATGTATGTATAGCTTTATGGGTACAAGTTGTCCAGATGCTCTTTTTCTGTGGATGTTGCTGGTTGCTGCATTTCTACTTCTAGTCTGAATTTGAGGCATAGTAAAGGAGTGCTTACACAAGTCTGTTTGGTTCACCATGATTCAGCATGCCTCTCTATCACCAGGTTATTGCCCTTTCTGCTTCAACCTTTCTTCTGAAATTGTTGTGACATATACCCCTGCATTTAATAATAGTGTCCTCCAACAGGTGAACATGAAGTCATGAGTCAGCTTGCGCCAAGATCCTCCTAATTTTGTGAAGCCTGCAGGGTACTCTGGATCTGTACGAAAGTAAATCTGAAGTGATTCAAGATCACTGAAGTTTGTAGCAATTGGTTGTCATTACCTCTGGATTTATTTCTGTTGTCACAGATGAGAGGAACTCAGTCATGAATCTTGCATCATGTTCTTTGCATCTAGAGACTCACTTGCTGTTCTGCAGCTAACTGCTTTGCTAAATTATCTTTCCCAGCAGCTTTTATCACATTTCCCACTGATATGGGACATATTAACTGGCATATTACCTACCACACGAGAATGCTAGTGGTTGGTGACCCTGCACATAGCAGGAGGGTTGAAACTAGATGATCATTGTGGTCCTTTTCGACCCAGGCCATTCTATGATTCTATGTATACTATGAGGTGCTGGATGTTTGGATCCTACCTGTGTTGCAGGATCTTTTATCAAAAAACATTTGCTTTTTCTTACTAGAACAATGAAATGGTTCAAAAAGTTTTATTCCTTTTTGGCAATGCCAAAAACTTAGGGAAACAAGCTGTGGGAAAACTTAAGGAAAACCATTTGTGGCTGGATTTCCATCTGAGGATACTGTTGCCCTCCTTGTTGTATGAAAAGAAGGTGAGTATTTGTGATCATAGTTACACATACATGAACTAGCTGATCTGTAGGAAACATCTGTGATATTTCTAACAATTTATCATTCAAATACCCTTTTAATTAGGTCTTCCATACTTTTTATATCCTACACAACTCAGAATGAAAAATAACTGCTCTGGAAATGATTGTGGTATAACATATGGACCAAAGTTTGCACATCTATTTTTAAAAGTCTACCTATTCCTATAGGCAGAGTATTATTCCTCAATGACTACATGATGTCAACACAAGCAATGGGTGAATTTTCCTCTTGCATATAACTATCTCAGCTTCCCCCCTTCACTCTGATGCCCACTGATTAGTAAATACAGGTACTTTCCTGAACTGCCTCATGTTATTGCTAAAACAAACCCCTGTGTCTTGCAACTGTGAGAAAGCAACACCAGCTACAAACACCAGTCCTGGTATTTGGTGGAGAAAGAGAAGGGGAGAAAGACAAATCCAGACAACTCTGTCCAGCCTTTCTCTTGCTCATCTTGGTCTGTGACAAAACATCGGTTCACTGCTTTGACTCTTTCAACTTCAGCACCTAAATGGAGTTGTCTGCATTTAAAGAAGATGTGGGTTATTATACAAGGCATTGTGATTCAGTCTGTACCAAAGTCTTATCATAGTTTATTGTATCAATGCCCTACTTAGTTTAGTTTTAGTTTGTGTGTCATTAATCCAGTTGATTGGAACAACTTGTTTTGAGCTTTTAATGTGCACTAGATCTTTTTGGATGAGAGTCTCTCTGCCTGTATACTGGACTATACCGTAAAGAGCAGTCACAGTTAGTAAGAAAAGTGACTTATTTGGTGTTTTTTATACCTGATTTCAAGGATTGTTTCTTTGTGATGTTATCACATGCATTGATTAAAATCAGTCATAGTTTCACTAAAGATCTATCAGGTGTTGGACTAGTGTAAATAAGGTAAAAAAAGTACTGAATCTATGTGCAAAAAAGACCCATTCTATTATCTGTGACTTTTCTTGCAGAGAAATTCATCCATCAGATGCAGACCTTGATTGTTCTGCACTGTTTTGATGAAGTATAGCAGCTGCAAATGAAGCATATCCAGTTCCCTAAAGCAAGGAGGGAACTTCCATTGGCACTAGCTTTGAGCTGCACTGTCATCTAACTTCTGTCAGAAACAAGACTGGAGCTCAGAAGTGGAAAAGTGACCTAAGGCTGTTATTCTTATATATCCTGAGTTTATCTTAGACATGAGCTGTGGCAGAAGGATGTAGTGAGCCTTTTTTAACCAACTTGTTCTTCAGTGTATTATTTTAGATATTCCAACTGTGGATTAGCCAGTGAAGACAAAATTATTGGAGATTTTGGGGGTAATCTGAATTTCATTGGCTGGCTTTTATCATGTACACTTGCAGAACTCCAGAAGCAGATGAAAGCTCTAGGAAGAAAAATGGCTATATTTTCATCAGTCCGCAGTTAAGAAAGATACTAGGTGTATATAAACACAATGCCTTGTATTACACCTAAAAGAAGGAGTTATTTGACCTATTAAAAATCAGGATGTGTGGAGGTGGGTATAACCTAACTTGAATTTAGGTATAAACCATAGAGACATCCAAGAAAATCTTAGGACTTGACTCACTTTATCTGATTTAAGGCATCTGCAAGTTAAACATCTCATTTGTTAGTCATCTAGACTTCCTGCAGTATTTCTGAGCTGATGACAAGAACCCGTCTCTGGATGTGTCTGTTTTGTCTGCAGGGAAGACAGAGAGTTTATACATCTAGTTTCTAGTCTTCATGCAAAAGTAAATGACAGGATTTAGTAACTCAAACTAGAAAGATGCTTTCACAGACTGATAGAAGTGTATTGAAGTTAAAAAAGTTTGCCTCCTCTTCTAGAGTGGAAGAGGGTAGCATGAGGCATAAGAATTGTATTGAAGCACAAAGTATGAAAAAATCTCAAGACAAATTCCAAATCACATTCAAACATAGGCAAACCAGAATATTGAAAATCTTAAATTTTTTATTGCTTTGTTGTCTAGTCAATCAAAATCTTAAGTTTACTTCTTAGAATTTGAGTTGAGTAGTTACATTGGCCAAATTTCCAGCAGCAGTTTGAAGGGCCAAACCTGTACTAAGTAGAATGGTTCCCAGATTGCTTAGATTGCCTTAACTTTTGGTCTGTAAAACTTTTATTAGAAAATTTTGAATTTTCTTCTCAATAGCAACAGAAGGCTATATAGCGAAAGCTGTATCCTTTAGGCTTGGCCTGCTGCTGACAGGTACATTTGTTTGAGGCAACAAATAAAACACAAAGTAAAGTCAACTGCATGTATGAATTACTTAGCTAGGTGCATCAATGTCATGAGAACACAGAATCACAGAATCACCCGGGTTGGAAGGGACCTCAAGGATCATGTAGTTTCAACCCCCCTGCCTAGCAGGGCCACCAAACACACACATTCAGATCAGGTTGCCCAGGACCCCGTCCAACCTGGCCTTGAACACGTCCAAAGACGGGGCATCCACAACCTCCCTGGGCAGCCCGTTCCAGGGCCTAACCACTCTCCTTGTAAAGAACTTCCCCCTAACATCCAACCTAAATCTTCCTTCCTTCAACGCGGATCCATTTCCCCTAGTCCTGCTATTGTCAGCCCTTTTGAAGAGTTTACTCCCCTCCTGGGTGAGGGCAGTGAGAACGGTGAGCAAAAGTAACATAGGGTTGCAGATTCTTCACTGATATAATTAATGGGGGGAAGAATGAGAATAACGTTATATGAAGAAAATTTTCTCAGCACTTATGAAAAAGAGTGACACAGAACAGACAGAAGCTGTTCATGCCCCTACCCCTCATAGTATGGTGAGCAGAAAGTACTCAATAGAAGTAAAGAAAAGTTGAACAATGCATATGTCCCTGAAATGCAAATAAAATAAAATAAAATAAAATAAAATAAAATAAAATAAAGTAAAAAGGAAGGAGAAAAAAAAAAAAAAAAAAAAAAAAGGAGGAAAAAAAGTAGAGAAAACCTTGCAAGTCTCATTTGGCTGACTTTCTGAAGCTTACTCAACTGCCAAAGCGTTGTTGTTACTCAACTGATATTTCAGCAATAATTATATTTATTACATATACTGGATGAATGCAATGACTTTTGGACTAGATCAAATCAGGAAAAAAAATCTTGGCATTCAGATGGGTATTAAATATTTTGCAGTCAACAGTTTTTAGCAATTTTTTTAATGCAATCTCGTGAGCTAATTTTTTCTCCAATGAAGGAATTCAAGAGGCAATAGAGCCAGGCAGAAGATAGACAGCATGGAGACACGGAAGAATGTTTGAGAAAAGAAGACTACATATTTCTGAAAATGTAAGTGGGCCTTTCCCTTTACAGGTTTTGAATGGGCAGCAAAATAAAACATGGAAGACTGAGGCTTCTGAAGGCCAGAGATTCTTTAGTCCCTTATTCCTGGTTGTGGATGAAATTGACTACTAGGTTTATTCCATGGTTCCGTCTGAATAATGAAGCTAACCTATAGATGATAGTCTAAGCTCTTCAGGGCAGAGGCTGACTTTGTTTTTTTAAAGGATGTACCAAATCAGGTATGTTTGGAAACTCTTAGAAAATACCGTAACAGCAACAGGAGTACCGGCATAGTCCACACCAACTTGCTTTCCCAAAATAGTCACATTTTTGAAAAGCTCTAGGCAAATTTAAAACACATTCTGGTGATATATATATATATATAATTTATTTCAGATTTGGATTCATGACAGTTTATTTTGTTCGTATTTTCCAGCTTTTATGATAACTTTGAGACTGACAAGTGAGGTTTTTTTGTCTTTATTTTTTGAAAGACAGTTATGATTCTTACTGTGTTCACAAGGGTTCAGGGTCAATCCTTTTAAGAAAAATGCCTGTATCTTATCATGAAATGGCAAACACTGTCAATTATGTGTAGAGGAAGCTGGAGAAGATGAGGACTCCTTCAAATTACCGTATACAAATGTCCATAGCAAAGAGGAAACACTGACTGCTTCTAAATACCAAGACGAGTTGAATGCTGCGATTCTGTGCCAGCCTTAAAGACAAGATCCACTCACTACTGTATATAACATTTAATCAAATACAAATGGTTCATGCTGTTCCTTCTTCCTAGCTCTCTCTTTGCTTTATGCCTTGGGGAAACTTCCCCTCCTCTGCAAGAGTATTAAAGTAAATATATATTCTCAGATTTCAGAGAGTAGTAATTACAGAATAGAGAGATCAAATTTCCACAGCTTGTAATTTTCATTACTTCATCCCTTGCTCAGTGATGTGAACAGACAAGCTCCAAAAAACAGCTGAAGCCTAGTGTAGAGGGTTGATTTTACCATGAGAAGGGGAGGAGGGGAGATTAAGTGGGGTGGAAAGGGCTTGTGAATAGCTTCATATGCACAGAAGAGGAGGAGAGGCAGAGAGCAGGATATAGCAGAAGGAGTTGGTTTTTTTACATAAACCCATGGAATTCTCTTTTGACTGCCTGGCCCATCAGCAGCCCAGTTAAACTGGTTGGAGGGGAAAAAAAAATTGTGGAGAAACAGCCCCCTCCCTTTGTTCATTTGAGGATTTGAGGTGGTGTAGGGTGTCCTGTTCTCTTGTTCCTCAGCACGACAGTATTATTCCTCAGAGAGAAAACTAACAGAAGTGTCCCTAACAGATTTTGAGATAAATGCCTTTGAGAATGAACAGAAATTATAGGAAAATTACCCACCTGTAAGCTGCTGAAATCCCACAGTCCTCACTCTTCCTTTTGAATTCAGTGGGGTGAGTTTTCCATTTATTACTGTGCTGTTGATCATGTCTCCCCACCATCTGTTGGATCCCATTTGATCCTTGGACATTTAAGCCCTTGTTTTTTTCATTCCCATCAACAATGACAGTGAAGATAAATGAAGATAAACTAGATCTCTGCTTGCTTCACAGTATTCCCTGCTTTCTCCAGAAGCCTTGCTCTGCCCAGAGTGAGAAGGACAGGACAGATAGATAGGATTGGACTGCTGAAGGATAATTAGTGTAATTTAGCCACTATACACATGATATTCCTATGGCCCTCATCTTACTCACTCACTTGGTAACCCTAAGGATCAGTGGGTTGTGCTCTATGGAAAGTCCAAAGCCCAAGAGCCTTTGTGGAGCAGGGCACTATGGACAGGGAGGCAGCAGAGAAGTTCTCATTAAAAAGAAAAAAGAAAAAAGGGGAAAAAAAAAAAAAAAAGACAAACTAAAACTTCACTTAACCAAAAACTCTCCATATGAATCTGCATAGTATCTTGGAGTTCCTGTTAGTCCTTAATCCTAGATCTTGACGTCTCTCTTCACCAAACACTGAAAAGCAAAGGAAAATGCAAAAGAAAAAGATCATCTCAGACTACAGCTCAATGAGTCCTTTAACACAGAGAAACCAAGTGACTGGACAACTGAGTCCTTCAGAAGAGGCATCAAGGATCCTTCCTGCTGGAGGGTTTGAAAAATAAGGTACAATTTCCTTCGCTGTGGAGCACACAGCTATATGATACCCATCTGGAATTTGGCATGACTATACCTCGCCTCTGGTAAAATTCCACTCCATGAAATACCAGCAGGCTCCACAGTGCAAATGGTGGCCCCAGATACCCTATCCTCCCTTCTTTCCCCTCAAGTGTCCTCCTTCCCTTCATGTTGCATTGAGCTTATTACTTGCTGTTTATCTTTCTCCACATCTGCTGCTCTGAATAGTTTTTCTTGTATTCCCACAATTACTTGGTTGATTGATTTGTCTGGGTTTCAGTTTTTAAGTTTGTCTAAGTGAGGAATGTCCCATGTTCATCCATAATCTACACATACATGCCCAGCTGTGTGGAATGGGAACAACCAGCATCTCTGGTGTATTATCAGCTGGAGTTTGTAGCTATGGTTTGTCACTCTCTCCAGGTTTAATCCTGATAGTAAACAAAGCATTCAGAGCTCAACAGTGGGGAAAATAAGATCTTTCCTTCATTCATTAGTCAAACAAAATCCCTGACGTCAGTTACTCAAATTTCGTGCTTTGTTTGAGGTCTTGGCTCATCAAGAGTGGGTGTTTTCATGTGTACATACAATTACAGGCAAAGTAGACATCCATTGTGTCACAAAGGACTGTCTTGACCTCTTGTGCTGTATGTGAACACATGATTCATTTGAAATTTTTCACAGGTGAGGCAACACCTCAGGTATTCCGAGCAGTAGGGCATTTCTTCCTGTGCCTCACACATTTGGATATCAAGCTAGGTCACAAAGCTGAAGGTAGTTCTGGGTGCTGAACTGCTCTATGTCTGCCATTTTGAAGGTTGTAGTTAGGACATCCACTGTTGGACACCGTTCTACAGCTCACTGAGAGCTTCTGCGTAAGCCAATGTTAGATAACCTGACACAGTGTGTCCTGGAATATGGTCTGATTTCTGCTTCAATACTCGTATCTTAGTTCATGCTTGCACTCCTTGTAGTACAATTATCTGGCAATCTCTGTTCAGGAAAGAAACCTGTATGAAAATGAAACATACAGATACACTTCAGGGGCAAAGTGAAGACAGGGAAGGATGAAGTGGTGGACAGAGGGGCAGAGGGCGGGATGAGCAGGACTTCTTCAGGACTTCTTCCATCAGAAGAGGGGTGGCCAGCAGGGACAGGGAGGTGATTGTCCCCCTCTACTCTGCTCTTGTGAGGCCCCATCTGGAGTACTGAGTCCAGGTCTGGAGCCCCCAGTACAAGAAGGACAGGGAGCTGTTGGAGAGGGTCCAGAGGAGAGCCACAAAGATGATCAGGGGACTGGAGCACCTCCCCTATGAAGACAGGCTGAGGGAGCTGGGCTTGTTCAGCCTGGAGAAAAGAAGGCTGAGGGGTGACTAGATTGCTGCCTTTCAGTACCTAAAGGGAGCCTACAAACAGGAGGGGAATCAACTCTTTGAAAGGGTAGATAACTGCAGGACAAGGGGAAAGAGTTTTAAGTTGAGGGAGGGAAGATTTAGGTTGGATGTCAGGGGGAAGTTCTTTCCAGAGAGAGTGGTGAGGTGCTGGAACAGGCTGCCCAGAGAGGTTGTGGATGCCCCATTCCTGGAGGTGTTCAAGGCCAGACTGCATGGGGCTCTGGGCAGCCTGGTCTAGTATTGAATAGGGAGGTTGGTGGCCCTGCATGTGGCGGGGGGGTTGGAGATTCATGATCCTTGAGGTCCTTTCTAACCCTGGCCATTCTGTGATTCTGTGATTCTGTGAATACCTGAGCTGATAACATCATCTCAGTTAGTGGGATGTATATAATAGCATGGTGTCAACTGCTGGCAAGTTTGTCCTGTTCAGAGACCTCTGTTGTGCATGAGACACACAAAGAAGAGAGTGTTTGCAGATGATGTGGTGGATGTTTTGTCCCTGGAGATATTCAAGGTCAAGGTGGATAGGGCTCTGACCTGCTCGAGATGTAGGTGTCCCTGTTCATTGCAGGGGAGTTCAATTTGATGGCCTTTTAGGGCCCCTTCCAACTCAAACATTTAATTCTATGATTCTATGAATATTCAGAGAATACCAGAATGGCTGAGGCTGGTGGGGACTTCTGGGTCCCTCTGTTTCATTCAGAAGTTCCTGTTCCTGCTCAGGCATGGACACCCAGAGCTGGGTGCCCAGGATCACATCCAGGTGGCTTTGAAGATCTTCAAAGGAGGGAGTCTCCATAAACATTCTGGGCAACCTGTTTCAGTCTGTGAATTCCCAGGGATTTCACTTCAGTGTACGAACTTGCCTTGGATGTGACCTCCACTGCTGCTAAACACTCACTAATTTAAGGAAGAATCAGCAATTCAGAAAAGATGAAGCTGGGTTTCCTAGGTGTCATCACTTAGAAAGCTTTGTAAATTCCTAATCTTTTAAAATCAAATGTTTGTCCACCCAGGGGTGAAGAAGAAAACAGAAAAAAAGATATTCAAAATAGAAAGGGCATGCTCTTCTCTCTCTTCCATGAACATTTTTGCTGAAGGGCTACAAGAGCAGTGGGGCAGGGGGGCTGGATCGGACCCCAACACCACTCCTCGAAGCATCTTCCGCCCCCGGAGGGCAGCGCGGGGCGCGGTGCTCCGGGACATTCCCATCCTCGGGGCCGCGTGGCCGCAGCCGCTGGATGGCAGCATGTCCCTGCCGAGAGACCGCCGGGGCACCCGCCCTCCTCCTTCCCACCGGCAGCCAGGCAGGAGGCAGGGGTGGGGAGAAATAAAAGAGACGAAAGTTAAGTGTTTTCCTTTGCCAAAGTCCTCCTTAAAAGCAGAAGGAAAAGATAATTGCTCTGGATTGTAAACGCTCAGTGTTAAATGTCACGAAACAAAAGAGCCAACAGGCGTAGCAAGTTTTGAAGCATGGCATCCACGAAATGAAACGTCGGGGTGGGTTGCCCCTGTCTGCCTCCATCACCTCCAGCCCGTGGTCTTGTGTTGGGTGTGGGGTCCTGACACAGAGACCCCTCTGCTGTGGCAAGCAGGGGCAAGGAGGGACTGATTTTCTTCTAAACTGTCCTACAGAGCTGAGAGCCACGATTTGTTCTGCAGAAACACACCCTGGTTGTAAAAATCCAGCAGACCCAAATCAGCCTTGTGTGCTCTGGGCAAGAAAGAAGGAAGAGGGCACACAGGCCTTTCTGTAACCTTTCCTCTTCCCCTTGCTCTTAGGCAGCCTGGGGCTGTCCAGATCTCAGCGGCTTTGAGAAGAGATTAGCCAGAGCACTCCGGGCTGCAGCTGCAGCTTCCTCCAGCCCCAGCCTGCCTCCAGGCTTTCCCATCCCAATGGGAGCTAGGAGCAAAACTGCTCAACGTCAGCTTATCCGAGGTCACTGCATCCTGCCAGAGAAGAACTGTGCTGGGCAGGACCCCCAGCCCCTCTCCTTATCTGCAATTGTCACCTTTTGCTCAGCGGTGACCACAGCTCAACCTGTTCTCCCAGACCACACAACAAACCTGCCTTGCTGTGGCTGGAAAGTGACAGCCAGGAGGTCTTGGGTATATTTATCTTCACCCTGCCCTTTAGAAAGGCACTGAGAGGATCAGCATATTCTCCCTTGCTCACTCTCATACCACGGCCGTCTTCTTACAGGCTGTTTCTGTCTACTTAGCTAGGTTGTCTTCTGTGTCCAAAGTGGCAGAAAGGGGCTTTAGTGCTGTTTGAAATCAAACCCAAATGATCCTGTAATTACCATTGGTGCTTATAACAACGTGAGGAATGCACTCCTTTGCCCCTGGGCACCAGTCCAGCCTGCCCCTTGCTTCCTCATCTGTTGCCATCCTCCACTCTATCAGAAGTGACTGCCAAAAGCAGGATCACACAGGAGCCACCCTGAATTCCCCCTTGAACTCTGAAGGCTGGGGGCTGGGTCTTATGGCAGCTACTTGGATTCAAGGACTTTCTCAATTAACTGCAGTCTCAGAGGGCAAAACTGGGTGGGATGGGAGCAATGAATGACCCTGTTTGCTGAAGTGCTGGTACCTCCTCATGGTCAACTATCTGCTCCATACAATTCCCTGTTTGCCATCTTGCACAAACAGACCAGTGCTGAATGTAGGAATGCCCACATGGATGTCAATGTCTTGCATCACTCAGGAGGTCAGATCTGATGGCCCTAAATCTGCACAGTGTTTGGAATGTGATCCTTAGTCCAATGAGCTTGGAGGGCCTCACACACCTTTGCTGAGCCTGTAATGCCTGTGTCTCATACTAGCAGAGATGGAGTTGATAAAATTGGCCAAATGCTGGCCTGAATGAAGTGGTATAAGTAACAGCACACATGGAAAAAGCTGATTGCTAGCTGTCATCTGCAACCGAATACAGACCTCAGCTTTGATGCACGAGTCAGTGCTATCTGTGGTCAGATGACAAGGAGGGGCTCACTGGTGGGCATGTGGCCACTCAGAGGAGGAAAAAGTAAATAAATCACTGCAGCATTGGCGGGGCCAGGCCAGGACAGCTGAGCCCATGGCTGAAGTGGAGCTGATCAGATGGCCCACGTGCTGGGCTACTCGGGTCCAGAAGTTCAGAGGTTGTGAAGGAGAGGGGGTATGCGATCAATGCAGGAGGCACAGAGATGCCAGGAGGCAGCGGTAACTGCTGGAGGAGGAATGGGTTGTGTGCATTTTGTGTTTGGGGCATCTCCCCATTCCTGAAAACATTCAAGACCAGGCTGGATAGGGCCCTGGGCAGCCTGATCTGCTGGGTGGCAGCCCTGCTTAGAGCAGGGCAGTGGAACTGGTAGTCTTTAAGGTCTCTTCCAACTTCAGCCATTCCACGATTCTATGATTCTATGACACATGAGTCTTGGCAGACCTGGGAGGAGAGCTGACGCTGCCCTATAAATCCATATCTCAGTACAGTGGTTGGCTCTACTGAAAACTTTCGGGGTGTGGTTCAAACACTCTTCTCCCATAAAAACACAAGCACAGTCAAAAATGCTTCATCTGGGTGCTCTGCTTTTCTTTTTGCCCCAGAATGCCAGAAGTAGCCTCAAGGGTAGTGAAAACTGAAACGAAAACATTGCAGCTTTTTTAAAAATACCAGCTGCAGTTTGAAGCAGCAGCTAAAATCTAATTACAGTGCACACCCAGCAGTGTAAGGTGCCTGTGTGCTTGTTATAAAAAGCAGCTATAAAATCAAGGAAGAGTGAACAGAGGAGCATGTTTGACTCAAGGACTGCGTGATCCAACATGCTCTTAGCCCAGCCAGGCAGCTTGCTGAACAAGGGATATTTGGAGTTTCGGTCTTCTCAGCACCCTCCTTGCAGTTGTTTCAAATGAAAGACTTGTCACGATTTTTTAGCTGTGAGACATTTGCTATTTATGGAGGATCCGTTTCCCTCTTCCCTGACCCGAGGTGGCCTCACAAAGTGCCAGCCTCAGCATTAAGTGGACCATTTCTATCCCATGGCCCTGCTTCCCTCATGCCAACTGGGTTGGTAGGTGCATTATAAATAGCTCTCCTAGAAAGGTGTAACAGATAAAGGTTGACATTTGCACTCCTAAACTCCTCTGCTATTAAAATTTCTCAAATTTTGCCTGAAGAGCTTGCTGAAGCCTCCTGTCTTCAGCACTGTGTTCTTAGGGGCTGAGTATCTGGAAATCAGAGCAAAGAGTTGGCAGAAGTCTTTGCTGTAACAGCAGGTAAGTTAATGAACATTAAGGTAAAGAGTTTGGGAGGAAGAAAAATGGATCTGGGTGACTTGGTATATGGCTCTTAATGTCAGCTATCAACTACTGATTTGAACCACGGTGCTGTGCTATTTTCACCCAATTGTGAAAGACTGGTTATATTGAAATCATCACTCAATTTCTTTGAACTTTCTTTCACATTCATCAGCTCCATAGATCAGCATCCCAAAAACCTAAGTCTGACAAGGATATGGTGGCTGCTATGTCAGCCAGGGCAGAGTTCAGATTTCAGAGCAAGGCCCTCTTAAGTGAGAAACAACTAATATCTAATTTTGTATATTACCCTCCTCTGCTGTTCCCTTGAAAGATAAGTGCTTTTTTTGTATTAGAAAAGGAAATTTTATGCTTATTCTGAGGCCAAAACTAACTTTTAGATGCTTCTAGATGGATAAGAGCTGAGCAGAGGGTGTGAACGTAGTATAAGAGCCAAATGTTCATTCTTTGGTGGCTGTGAGGCAGGGCTTCTTGATGTTCATGAGGGTAGCAACAAGGATGAGATTAAGGGCAAGGCAGTGACTCCTGTGTCTTCTTACCTTATTTTCATTTTCCCTATATCTGCATTGTTTCTGAAATCTTGCAAAAAGAAGATTTTTCGACAGTTCCATTGATGTCATCTGATGTCAGGGTATAAATGGCGATTTAGAAGGGAAACCAGGCAAAAATCCACCCTCTAACTTTTTTTGTCCTATTTGGAAAAGAAACAAAACATAAATTGCTGGTGTAAAAAATAACTACATCCTCCTGGAACCTGAGCACAGAATTCTGAGTTAAATTCCCCCAGGGATAATACATTAAAGCACTCACTGATTTGCTTATCAAAACAAAGAATGAGTATGCACATGCCAGGGGTGGGGCACTGAGCAGTGGAGATGTCTTCCTATGGAATGGAAACTCTGAGTTTGAGATGGTAGTAGATGTGTGCCAAAGGCCACTCTCTTCTTCCCAACTGCTTCTGGTCCTGCAGGCTAGGAAAGTCCAAATAAGCCAAACCATGTTAGTCACATAGCCCTGTCTCCTCTTGATGCACATCAGCATTTCTAGCTTGCATGGTGCATAGACTTGAGATTGACCTTTGCCATGCAGGCTATCATACCATGAATAACACAGCTTTGAATTATCTGGAACTGTAGTCTCCCAGCTTTCCATAGAATCACAGAAACATTGAGGTTGGAAAGACCACTAAGATCATCCAGTCCAACCATCAACCCATTGCCATCATGCCCACTAAATCATGTCCCTTACTGTGATATCTAGTTTGTTCTAGTTGTGCTTAGTACACACTGATCTCATGTTCTGGCTCTTACTTGACACAGAATTGCTTTTTACTTGTTTTGTTTGTTTGTTTTTAATTCATTTCCTTTGCTTCTGTTTCTTTGCTTGGCCCTGGCAAAACACAGTGCAGACCGAGTTCTGAACAGCCATTTGGGAAGAAATCATTGGAAGTTTAGAGTCAGAAATAAGAAGCAGATATAGTACTCACAGTTTCCCCTTTTTTCTCCCCAGTCTCTGTTGAATTTCAGTGGCACTTGCAGCATAGGCCATTCAATCCACTGTAACAGGTGGGACAAGGCTGCTCCATCTTACACTTTTCTGATCACAGATAATCTAAGGAGTTGGTGTTATAACAATCTCCACTTTCTAATTCACCACTGACCCAGTTTGGTAATTACAACATTACTGAGTCACTCGTGTTTGGCAGTGGATGTCATATGTTTGAGTGATGAGTAGCCGCAGATGTTGTGTTTCACTTTATTTAACATGAACTCATGTGAATTCAGTAACATCTAATCTACCGAGCACTGAATGAATCATGCAGAACAGTTTGTAAAAATCCTAGATATAGCTTCAGAGTACGCAAGCTATTTTCCTGGAAGAAGTTGCATAGAATTTCATTAACTGCATGAATCTGGTAGGAAGCTCTTCATGTGTGATGTATTGTTTCCCTGGGATTTTTAATGTGTTGTGTAAGTCTGCTGATGCAATGCTTGTCCTTTAATATGACATTATTAAAAAAAAAAAAAAAAAAAAAAAAAAAAAAGAATTTTTTTTTATCCTGAGTGGGTTTATTTGGAAAATATTAGTGCCAACATACTCTTCTGGTATAGCATCTCCAGTTGATTTTATGTTGCTGACCATTTCAGCTGGTATGCTCTGACATCAGAGCATAGTCAGCCTTGCAGGACAATTTAGCAGTTGCCCTGAGAGGACCCTTAAGAGAAGAGAAGTGGCTCATGGAAAAATATCTCATCCTCTCATCCATAGAATGAGCTTACTTTAATAGAGACCACAGAGAGCTCAGAGTGAGAAAGAACATCCAGGATACTTAGCAGCATTCTGAGTCTCGGGACAACACAATAAATTAGACAGTGGTCCATTTCCTACACTGTACTGTAGGTGTTCAGCAGTGACCACAAACAGTGAAAGTCTAGTTTGTTTGGTTTTCATGATGATTCAGGGCTTGGAGCTGTTCCTTTTACTTCTGTTATAACTCTTTTTTTTTTTTTTTTTTTTTTAATTTTACAATCATCCCTCACCGAAATCTCTCTTCTAGTTTAGAAGATGCAAAGAAAATCAACAATCTTAAATGTCTGCCTGTCAAGTCCTTGCTCAGAAAGTCTCTCTAGATACTGTATTTCATGTGGTCAGTGCCAAGTAGGCAAGACATGTTTAATCTCCATCCATGCAGGAAACCATAAGCTCCCTTTCAAATGGGAGCACTGTCCCAGTTATCTTTTCCTCTCTGCTCCTTCCTTGGTACCTGCAACAAATTGAAGCTGCTTAATGTCAAAGCAGGATTTGAAGAATCACTGTAGAGTTACAAAGTGTTGGTTGGGTCGTTATGTGTGTCATCTTTTCTGCATTGCTTCAGACCTTTGAACTAAAGAAGTCACAATTGTAGTTATTTCTGAGAAGCACTGTGTTGGAATCCAGTTTTCCTACCATCGTGGCAGAGAAGGAACAGAAAGTTGGCTATTTCAGAAGCTGCCAGGTGCTCTCACTTTTGAAGACAGGTATGAGGGACCAATTGTCTTCTAATCACCATTGAGACTATTGGTCAGTTTCTCTCTTGGCTACACAGTTGTACATGCTTCAAGCAACTGGGCAGACTTTGCCATTTAGAAACAGAAATCATTTTTAGAAGTGGCAGAAAACACATCAGTTCCTACTTGAGTAGCAGGGGATGTTTTCTCGATGAAAATACTTTTTAAATAGCGAAGGAACATAGGCAGAACAGACAGGAACAAAGCTTGTCTGCGAGGTACCAGACTGGAAAGCTGTCACATTAGCACTAGCTACTATCTCAGCTTTCATACAGCTTCCATCATAAATGTTTAATTTAGTTTTTTCTTCGATTACATTCTTGCATGGATAGACAGGGAAAAAATGTCAGACTTGCAACATACTTCAGCATGTTAATATCCATGGGATAAAAGTCTTGAAGGAGCCTCTCTGGAGCAAGTGTCTTCAGTAAGTAACTAAACTGATGAGCTTTTAAAGAATTAATGACTTCATAAAGCTGTTTTTCTGAGGTGGCTTTTGATATTTTATTGGGATCTCTCGTGTATTGTTTTGATTCCAAACAAGCTACATTCAAAGACAGATAAATATAATAATTTAAAATGATATTTCAGAATACTTTGAAAATATTATGTCCTTACCTTTTTAGAGATATAGTGTCCTGGTCCAGTTAATGAGGAAACAAAAGGCACAGAAAAGAACACTGATTACTGAAATGGGAATAAGAATCATATAAGATATAGAACATGAGTGATGCTTTAAGTTTAACTCCTCTTCCATACCAAGCTCCTCTAGGAAATATAAAGGTTCCAATGAATTTTGAATATTCAGCACTTATGCTGAAAGATCTCTCCAGACCATTCTTTGAAATTAAAGTTCCAGGACTTACATAGAATCATAGAATCATTAAGACTGGAAGAGACCATTTAGTTTACCTGTCCACCTACCACCAATACTGCCCATGTCCTTCAGTGCCCCATCTCTACACTTTTTGAACACTTTCAGGAATGGTGACTCCACCACCTCCCTGCGCAGACTCTTCCAATCACTCACCACTCTTTTGGACAAGAAGTTTTTCATGATACCCAACCTGAACCTCTCCTGCTGCAACTTGTGACCATTTCCACTCAACCTATTATGTAATAATCTGTATTTTCCTATATGTAATTTGCCTATATGCAATTTGTCTATGTGCCTATATGTAATTTGCACTGGTTATTTGTGTTTCAATCTGTCACACAAGAAGGTTATAACTGTGACACTGAAAGCAGGCTGCTCTGTAGTAGTGAACTGTTTGTCTCATTTAATGTAATTTGGTCCAGTCAACCACATGGACAGTCTCACAATGAGCACAAATTCCTGCATATGCAGGAATTGCAACTTGCCTCCAGCTATTCTTTTGCTGTAGAGCACATAAATATTCCCCTATGCTCAAATTTTCTTAAAAGTAACCAGCCCATTTCTTCCCTATTCCACTGACTACTTATTTAATACAGACAGACTGAAAAGCTCTCTCTTCTACTAAGGTAACTCTTAACACTTCCTTACAGAGAAACAATATCACCCTTGCTTAAAAAATATCATTCTGTATGGTAAGAGGCCGTGAAGACCAATAGTAATTATGATAGTCAGAAATGAAGGACTATGAAAATGCATACACATCCTTCATCTCAACTCATGCTATCTTTATTTGGCAAGTCTGGAGATTGCATAGATTGCCTTATTTCTTTTTTTTTATTTCTAACCCATTGGATTTATCAGAATGAAATGTGAGTGAAATGCTAGAATTCAGACCTTGCAGATTTCAGCCATATTTCTGCCTGTTCAGGAGATATCTTCCACGTGTTATAATTATTCTGCTCAATTCCATCACACTTCCAGTTTCTACTCCTAGTAATACAACTCACCTTCAGACTACGCAGTGACAAGGGCAGTTCATGAGGACAGCTGGGCTCAGTGAAGACATCTTTGCTATGTAAGCTTAATTCAGTGTGCATAGAACTGGAAATATTTTTCTGAAGGAGCAAGGGGTAAAGCTGCATCCTACACAATGTTAAATAAAATGCAGAATCTGGACCTTCTGATTACTCTGAAGAATTCTGTTCACCTCAAATTTTGGGCATAGAAAATAAAATGATGGTATGATTTAATATTTTCTTATAATTGAATTTCATGCACCAGGAGAGAAGTATAGAGAGAAATTTCTCACTTGCTACACCAGAGGCTTCATTATTAACATTTCAGTGAATAAAACAATGATTACTACAGAAAGCAATTAGCTAATGACAACTATAGTGGGTACAGGGGGGGTAGGGGGGGGGGGGGGAAGCTGACAAGTTTCGTGTAGTTTGAGCCAACTCATTTTGCTTCACAAGTGGGACACTCTAAAGTTATATATGGCCAGCTCCCATTGTGCATCTAATGAAAGATCATTTTTAATCAATAAACAAATAAATCAATAAACAAATGAGTCATTTTCATGCATATGTTTATTTTTCCTAATCCACTAACACAGTCCCAGTCAAGAAAGGCCAGGTATGAGAAGAAAAGAGATTGTTCTTGACTTTTTAGCTGAGAGGTTTTTCTTGGGCAAGGCCAAAGTGCATATAGTTAATGTAGGTAAGATCACAGTTTCTGTGCTACCTGAACATGCTGCACTTAAGTCTCTAATACCAACAATTTTTCCTAGCAATGCATTTCAATTTGTACATCATGGAACAGATAAGATTTTGAATCTAGCCTGCTGGCTGTCTAGTCGCACAATGAAGCATTTATTTCTTTTTTGACCTTTCCATTGATATGAAACATCAAGGTATGGCCAAATTGAAAGCTCTTCCAAATGGTCTAGTTCAATCAGAAGTCATGGATTTGTAGCAGTTGTTCCTGTTTGAGGTTTTATCTGCTTGTGATCCAAGTGGTCATGGATCATAACGGTACTTTCTGGTTTTAAATCTGCTAATTCCTCCTCAGTCACTCAGTTTGCTACAGGAATGTCTCAGTCTTTTACTCTACCTGACAGTCAAAAATTGGATAGAATTGAATCCTTCTATCTTGAAATGTAAATTTTATATATATATATATGTATTTATATAATGTATGATTTATGCTCAAAAATCGTACTCCAGATGAAGTATAGACATTGAGCATTATTTTTTGAGCAATTGCTTATAAATTTAGTAAGCTGTCTGCCTTTTTATACTTTTCAGTCTGTTCTCATTACAGACATGGCAGAAGGCTTTGTGGTAAACTTGGAATTTGCTGAGTGAGAAAATGAAGATTCATGCAAAGCTAAATTGAACAAATGGTGAATAATTGATTTAACTGACCTGACAGCTCACACTGTGCTTGTAAATAATACATAACTTTTTACTATTCTGATAATGTAGTATTCTGTGCTTCTAGATTTCTTTCAGTAAGTTACCATAAGGAGCAGATGATCTTTGACCACCCTAAAAAGGCAAAAATATGCTTACTAAGAACATTCGGGTAGCCAGGTGGAAGATAGCAATAGTCTGATATAGTGCTGATGAAGCACCTTCGTAAAGGATCTCTGCCCTTTTGCCTTTTGTCTCTAAAATACTGTTTGTTAGATAGCCTCAATATAAGCATTTCTTACTGTTCTGCCAGCCACCAGCTCCTGGAGTCAGACAGGCTCTGTAAAAATTTACGAAGCACCACAGTAGTGAACAGGATCACAGTGACTTGTAACAACAAATGCAGGTGCCTGTTCTGCATTTCCTTTTCTTTCAGTGTGTAAGTTTGAACCCTTCAACAGATGCACAAACACAAGCTGTTAAACTGGTTCTGAAAGTACACATGCAATTGTAAGTTGATATATGTGTCTGATAGCTTCATTGCCTTGTAACTACTGAAATAACCTGCACAATAGAAGCGTGAAAGGCAACCACTAGGATCTGGCAGCTTTCCATGCCCAACTTGCAGGAGAACAGCCAGTTACAAAAAAGTACATAGCAATGGTGAGCTTAGCCTGCATTTTGTTCAGAGAATCGCAGGATTGCAGGATCATAGGGACTGGAAAGGACCTCTGGAGATCATCTAGTTCAACCCCCTGCTAAAGAAGGTTCCCTACGCTGGAAAGCATCCAGACAGATTTTGAATATCTCCAGAGAAGGAGACTGCCACCTCTCTGGGCAGCCTGCTCCAGTGCTCTGTCACCCTCAAAATAAGGATTTTTTTTCTCGTGTTCCTAAGCAACTTCTTATGTTCCAGTTTGTGTCCATTGCCCCTTGTCCTGTTTCTGGGTGCCACTGAAAAGAGCCTGGCCCCACTCAGTTGTCTCCAGCCTGATAGATACTTATAAGCATTCATAAGATCCCCTCTCAGTCTTCTCCAACCTGAACAGCCTTAGGACTCTCAGCCTTCCCCATGAGGATGCCCTTCAGGCATTTCTGCAGTCATCCACTGGACTCTCTATAAGTTCTCTGTATTTCTTGAACTGAGGAGCCCAGACCTGGACACAGTGATCCAAATGTGCCCTTCCAGGGCAGAGGAGTCTTGGAGGAGAACCTCCCTCAACCTGCTGGCCACTCTCTTTGTAATGCACACTGCTGAGTCACCCTTCTGTCCCCCAGAACATTATTCGATTCTGTCTGCTCACCACTGAAATATGTCCACTTGGTTATAGCAGTGCAACAGGGAACTAAGGATTAAAGAAATAGAGATACCACATCACCTGCCCATCAATCCAAAAGAAAATTCTCAGCAAAGCCAGTAGGAAGCACAGTCTGTTCCAAAGCTGGACTACAGTTCTCACTTTTGGAGAGAATATTGTGTGTTACATTTTTGCATAATACTTTTTAACAATATTGTCTGTGTCAAGTTACAATTAGTACATTCTAGCTGAGAGCTGAAGCACACACATAGCTGAGAAATGTGAAATTGTGATAACGAGTGCAATTTTAACTGAAATTGCTGCACCTCTTTCTTTTTAATATTGTATCATTTTTATGCCTAAAGGTTGGTGTGCAGAGTGGCTGAGTTAAAGTATCTGCAAAAAGTTTCTGGGCTTGATTCCAACTGCTTTCTCTGAAAGCAGAAGACACCATTTTCCTCTCCATCAGACAATTTGTGTGGAAGGATGTACCTAATGTCTATAATGTTTATTCTTCCTTCTGACTTCTGAAATTTATCCAGTCGAAGTGTGTGAAAAACCCAAAGTAGGTGTAACATTTGGTGTGTGGATAAGTAGCCAGGCAGAAAAGGATGACGGGGAGCCACGCAGAAGGAGGTTTTTCCAGGTTGCATCCCTGTGCTACAGCCTCTTGTCCTCCCAGGCAAACTGGGATCTGACAGATAAGTCATACAGCAGAAGAGAGGATGCTGCATGGTGTCAGATAACTGTGTGAACTCTACTCCGAAGAGTGGTGAGGGGAATTCATTGCACAAGTCTCACCTTCAGAATTCAAGACTTGGCCAATCTTCATATTTTAAGGTTCCCCCTTTTTTCTTTTTGTGTTCCCAGATTGTCAGTTCCTTTCTTCCCCACTCCAGCACGAATAAGGTTTTCTTTTAAACATTCACACATGGAAGTCCCTGAGAGAAGGAGAAGAAAATTAGGGATTGCAGAGTTAGTATTTGTGCTCAGTTACATCAGTTTGGTGCTGATAAAAGACGGAGCATCTGAAATTAGAATCACCATATCAAGCCACATCACTTAGCTTTGATTGAATGGGACTGAAGCTTCACTGATGCGGTCTACAAAACAGTCACATTTTATGTTAAATGGATGAAGAGAAGGAAGGCAGAGAGAAACATGCAGAGGGAGATCTGTAGGGCCTTGTGGACAACCACAGACACTCTGCAGTGCTCTGCAAAGTGATGAGCAAGACCATCCCTCTCACAGCATGTTCTCTAGGGAAAGTCCATCAGAAATCAGTATCTCTTTTGCCTTTCCTTTTATCATAGGCTGGGTCAAGTAGATTGGGCCACAGATATGACAGTTGACTATGCAGTGATGAATTTTTCGTGCTGATTTCCCAGCAAAGATTAACAAAATATTCCAGGTTTGTTGCAACAGCAAAGATTAACAAAATATTCAGGGTTTGTTGCAACAACCTACTATTTTATGTACATACCTGACGTTCTCCAGTCTGCCCCCTTGTATAAAGATTTATGCTCTTCTTACAGTAACGTGGCACTATCTTGTTACCCCATTTTCTTCTTTGTATCTGATTTCCTGCCTGATTTTTAGGCTCTCCATGAAGGCAGTTCTCAGAATGTTCTCTCACAGTAGCATGAACAGCAGTAGCTGCTGTTAGGCTCCAGTGTGAGTTGCATGGGTCTAATCCAGAGTTAGATCTGGGTGGGTAAATAGTCAGGCTTGTTTTTTTAGGATTAGGTTTTGCTTTTATCTTGTAGGTGTTTATGTTTCCTGATGCCATGTTTGCAGGCAGGAGAGAATGAACAAAGTCCAGATCCTCTGGACTCTGACCCTAGAGGAATGGCCACTTCCCCTTTACACAGTAAGTTTGCTGCAGCCCAGCATTCCCTTCCTTCCCCAGCACCAGGGGCACTGTGCGCTATTCTGGCAAAACAGATGTTTTACCTAAAAGCTTTTGAGCCTTACAAATGAATCCCAAATGCATCACTGCCTCAACTAACAAAAGGAGCTAAAACATGAAAAGAGAGCTGAAGTGGGGAATGCAGCACTTTGATACCATTGAGAAAATGAGAGGGAAAAGGGGACAACACTATTTTAAGATCACAGAGGAAAGGAGAGAACCCTCAGTGGTCTTCTGGTCAGTTTGGAACAATAAAACAAGGCCTTAGGAGAAGTAAAAATGTCTTTTGGCATTTTCAAAAGACTGAAAACCAAAACATCCACCACCTTATATCCCACATTCAGAGACACTGAAGCCAAGTGTGGCAGTCCTTGGTGCAGATAAGCACTCTGATTCTCATCTGATAGTGGCAGCACTGCTCACACCGATAGTTTATTTCCAGTGTGAAAAATTATATTTGTTCCCCATGTTGTAGTTTATAGATGCCTGACATGCAGACCAAACCAAAATCCCCTACTAATCCAACATATTTGAGCCTTCTCCTTTGGACTGAGATCAAGAAACCCTGGGAGGGCTTGTTTTTCTCCCCTGACAGTGAATGGAAAGACCAGTTCTGCTGTATGTATCTCCTCTATAAAGATCTAAATACGCAGAGTATCTGATTGGGTTTCAAAACATTTCTGCTTAATTACAGGCCTCTTCATGTAAAATATCTTCTTCTGTCCTGGCAAAGAGAGATTATTTCTCAGAACTCCATTTTTTTATGTTTATTAATTTCTATTAATTTGGTGTTTATACAGCATTCTATATGCGTCTGGTGATTTGGCAACATATGAAATGCAGTTCCTGGTCTTAAGTATTTCCACCGTATTCTTAGATAATACTGTAAAGGATAAAATAAAAAGCCAAGAAGAGGAAAGAATGAAAATACAAGACCACAAGGATGTTGGATGTTCAAGACATGTATCTTGGTTTTATTCTTTTATGTAATGCAGATTTGTGATTTATAAAAAGACCTATTAATATGCATATATCACTTAGGGAAATGATTGTACGGAAGAAATATGTTACTCAATCCAAATAAAATAAAAACAGTATCATAATTTCAGAAGTTCTGGCACAACAGAGAAAGTAATTCCTTTAGAAGGAAAATCCTGATGAGCTGAAGATTAGATATTTTTCATAGATCGTTAAATCATTTTAAAAAATGGTAATCTCTTCCCCTCACCCCCCCTCAAAAAAAAAGCTTTTGAGCGTTTTTTTATTTGCCCCCAGTCTTCTGAAGCAGTATTATATTTCTTAACGTTATTGAAAAAATTCTGAAGTGCAATTCCTCCCCTTTTTCCTCTGTAAATGGGAGTGGTGATTCCAGGGTTTACATCTTAATCCAACCTTCAGGCTGTAAAGAACACATAAAGTTTATGGGACTTTTTTGCAATGCTGAATACAACACTATGGGAAGCAAAGAAGTGTGTGCTAGACATGAGTGAGTGAATGAGAAAATAAAGCTATGTCAGGTGGGAGCCTGAGTTAATCAGGAATAAGTAATCAAACAAAACAAGACAAATAAAGGTAACGGCAGCTATGGAAGAACTAGAAAAAAAAAAAAAAAAGAGTTTTTTTGTAAAAAAAATCGCAAGGATGAGACAATTTTAGATGAGTTGCAGAATTCCTGGGGCTTGTCTGGAAAACAAGTTGGAAGATATTTAGAGTAAGTAGACAGGAAGAGCAGTTAAGACTTCTGCATATTAAAAAAAAATTAAAAAGTAATAATATTAAAATAAACAGTAGTGAAAAGACTCTCAGGCTAGAATTAAAGACATAATAGACATAAGACATAATAGAAATTGTATTGAAAATATTTCCTGAAGGAGAAATCAGGGGTCACTAAAAGATTACTTTTAACTAATGCTACTTGATTGGTTGTTAGTGTTCAGCTTCCTCTGAAGTGACAACGCATTTGGGTGACCATTGCCCTCTTCCAGCAATTATTGGTGCTCTGGCAATTGCACTCAGTTTTAATCACTTAGATTCCTGAATGTTACTATTCTTGGTTTCAAACAAAAGAGCCAACTGTCAAGTCAGAGATGTCCACTTCTTTTGGCAGCTTCCTGGTTGTTTTTTTCATGAAAACTTTTTGAAGACTCTGTTAGGTTCAGGAACTATAGACTCACAGAATCTTTAGAGTTGGAAGAGACCTTTTAAGGTCATCTAGTCCAACTCCCCTGCAATGAACAAGGAAATCCATAGCTCAGTCAAAGTCCCATCCAGCCTGATCTTGAATGTCTCTGGGGATAGGGCATCTCTGAGCAGTTTGTTCCAGTGCCTCACCACACTAATCAGAAAAAATTTATTCATTACATTCAATCTAAATATTCCCTCTTTTAGTTTCCCCTTGATTGATCACCATAGACCTTGCTAAAGAGTCTGTCCCCTTCTCTCCTGTAGCTCCCCTTTAGATACTGAAAGGCTTCACAGCCTTCTTTCCTCCAGACTGAACAGCTCCAGTTCTCTCAGCCTTCTCCTGTGGGGAAAGTGTTCTATCCCTTGAATCATTTTTGTGGCCCTCCTCTGGACATGTTCAAACAGATCCATGTCTCTCATTTAATGAGGACTCCACATCTGGATGCTGTATTCTACATGAGACCACACCAGCACAGAGCAGATGAGCCAGATCACCTCCCTTGCCCTGCTGGCCACACTTCTTTTGGTGCAGCCAAGGTTCAGTTGGCTTTCTGGGCTGTGAGGGCACATTGCTGGCTCGTGTCCAGCTTGCCATCCACCAGTACCCCCAGGATCTTTTTTTCAGGCCTTTGCTTTATTCTTACATCCCCCAGCCTGTGCCTATAGCAAGTATTGCCACAACCCAGGTGCAAGACTTGCACTTGGATCTGTTGAACCTCATGATCTTCTCCTGGGCCCACTGCTCGAGCCTATCTAGGTCTCTCTGGGTGGCATCCCTGCGCTGTGGCTAACTTGAGCCACAGTGGGACAGTTGTGACTGACCCAAGTGGGAGTTTTCTTTCTGCTCTATGGTAGCTTAAACCATTCTACTGTGAAGTTGCTGCTTATGTATTTTTACAGGAGAAAACACATCCAAACTCTACACTGCTGTGGAACCTATATAGACTTTAAAGCGTGAACATGAAATTTAGTAAAAACATAGTTACTGTAGTTCACATCTTATGCATAAACAGCTCACAAGGCAGCATATATTGGGCATAAAATCAGAGAAGGAGTTAATCTTGACTACTCTCCAGAAATTAAAAAGACTGTTTTCCTTCCTGTCTTCCAGCACACTTTTTCCATCAGATTTTCTCTTGTCACCGAAGGACCATACTCTCAGGGTAGTCTTTTTATTTTCCTGAGGATTCACCAAAACTGAAAAAGCAGCCCAAATTTAATAGCAAAATACACACAATGTCACAGCATTTATGTATTTAAAATTCTGACTTAAAAATAAATAAATAAATAAGCCTCAGACATTTAAGAATAACCTTCGATAGAGACTAACTCTAGGCAGCTACCATACATCCAGCTTCATACACCGAATTATTAAGATGCAGTGAGTTGTGTTTTGAGGAAGGGAAGTTTTTAATTGGATGAGTCATTAGTGAGCTTCCTGTTGACACCTGGCACCAGCCACACATACACCTGGCACCAGCAGCAACACACCTGAGACTGACCGAGACACCATGTTTCTTTAAGGTGAACTGTAAACTGGCAAATAAACCTTTTTTGTGGTTTTAAGAAGAGATTTTGGTACCTGCAATTTCATGAATTGTTCTTCAAAACAGTTTTCTAGGGGAATCAGGACAAATGAATGTTTAACTGGAAAAAAATCTCCAAAAAACTGATTAATTTTTGCAGGAAGAGAGGGAACTGGAATTTAAAAGTAATCAAGGTATACCAGTTTTTCTGTGCATCTGTATTGAACACCAAGACAGTTATCACACCATCAGTAAATTATGGGAACTTTCTCTCAGAAGAGCACACTGTTACAGTGCAGTGGCAGGTATGCAGCATTCGTTGGTTCTGCACTGTAGGAGTACTAATGTGGACGGGTTGCACCAAGGACTTCATATCCACGCTGTCTGATTCTCAGAGAGCTGTTTCAGACTACCTACGGACCGTGGACTGAATTGCACTACTTAATGTGTGCCTACATTAAAAAAAAAAAAAAAAAGATGTTATTTTGATAAGTAATGTACCATTTGAAATGACAGAAGAGCGAGGCTTTGTAAGGACTGACTCAGAGGTTTCTGTCTCTCCTGCATAACAGGAATTACCTCTAGGGAAGGAGGAATACTCTAATCTGCAGTCTGTGTCTCAGCAGGCTTACCTTTCCTCCATACGTACTCTGGCTTTATCATACATAAACGTCACTGGGTCAGATGCTGAGGGAATCACTGCAAATTGGAAGTGATCAAATATTCAGCCCATTGTGCTTTTGCATGTAGATTGTTTTACATTATAGTTCACAAGTAATTTCAATAATTGTTATAAATGTGTATTTAGACGACTTCATAAGGAAGGGGATACCTCACACACTGATAATGTACGATCAAAAATATGTCTTTGTGAAATACCATTCAATGCAATTCTATTTTCAGGTATAAATTTCAAATGGAATTACTCCATGTTTACAGCCGTCCTCTCGGGAGCTGAATTTGCCTTGCTATGTTTGTGTGAAGAACACTGGTCATGTGCTCCTTCAAATCCCTTTTTCCTCCTTTTCTAATGTACACAGAGACAGTATAATTGGTTAAGTGGAGCTTTTCTGATTTATAGTAACATGCTGAAAGGAGTCTCCTCTATTTAGAAACATGGGCATTATGTAAATACTAAGACCTGCATTATAGAAAATATGGAAAGGAGAC